AATTTTAAAATAAATTCCATGCAAATGTTAGGGCGTGATATTTTGTACTTACTATGCAGACATCAAATTTATGAAATTATATTGAAAAGTGTTTTTGAAGTAAAATTTAATACGCAATCTGAACCAGATGTTCCTATTTTCAATAAATTTCAAAAGTCTTGGCAAAATATAAATAAAACAAATTACTTAAGTGGAATAGAAGATACTGTTATTTTAGAAAAATTAAAAACAAAAAAAGACGATATTTTGAAATTTAGTTTTGAACAATTACAAAAATACCAACCTCGAGATGACTATAAGAAACTTTTAGAATTGGTCATAATATTTTTTGGTGAAACACCTTTACATAGAATTTATTTTAAAATTCCTGGCCCAATTCATCATGCTCGTTGGATGGCCAAGGCTATTTGTTGTTTGAAAATTTGTTTTGTTTCGTGGCCAATTTGAATTGTCAATCAAAGAGTTAATTATTTAAATAATATTCGACATTATGTATTTTTATTACAAGTTTATATAGTCTCTGTTCGTAAATAAATTTGTAAGTTAACATTATTTTAGCTTCAATGTGAAACTGAGACGGTATTAATTTTACTCTGATGTGTTTTTTTTAATTAAAATTAAAAAAAATTGTAGGTTTTGAATAGTTAATAATAGAAAAAATATCGAATTAAAAATGTATAGAAAATTAAATTTAAAACAACGGTTAAATTAATTTTTTTTATGTTTTTACAGTGAACGATTTATAAATTAACAATTTTAATGGTAAAAATAGAACATATACGTTTTTATTTTTATTTTTATATTTTTTATTTTTTAAGAACTTTTCGAAAATTTTTGTAAATATACTTTTTATAGAAAAATTGTATACCTACAAAATAGTCCAAATAAACATTTTCGAAAAAGCTAAAGTTTTTGAGATAGTCATAAAAAACTAAAAAATCACCCTTAGGGGTTATTTTTAACCCCCTTGGGGCACGTCTTAGAGTTGACCAATCGTCACCAAATTTTGTACAATTTATATTTTCATGTATTTGAATAATTCTAGGGGGTGGCACTTTGTAATTTTTTAATTTTATAAATAAGGGACACCCTAATGGGCAGCAATCCGTTTATAAACAATTTCACAACCAAAGTTGAAAAAAACGAAAGCACAATAAATAAGTATTAATATTTATCACAATCGCAACAATCGTAAATAACCAGTTAAGGTGAACGTCGGAAAGGAAACAGGACGCATTATCAGTGATACATATTCGGCGGCGGCCTTGTCACGGTGTCAAGGGCGGCAAGACACCCGATGACAATCGATTGTCATATTAATAGGTGGACGGCTGATATCGAGAGACGCGGGTGAGCGCCAGCCTAGAGCGTAAGGCGGTGCCGTGTCATAGTTAATTTTTTAATTTCAGAATGTAATTTTTTTTTTAAACAACTTATAAAATCAAATTTTACATTTTAAATATTAAAGGCGTTTTTAAATGTTTTAATCAACATTTTAACTTTTTAAATATTTAATCTTCATCTGCTTACACCTTTAAGGCTGATTCATATTATAAGGAACGTCAACGTCACGTCAAAAAACATTTAATTATGTATTTACGTAACGTCAACATCACTTAAATGTGCGGTGTATGTGAACAATATGATATAAATACATAGTTAGATATTTTGACATAACGCTGCCGATCTGTGGCGTTCCATATAGTGTGAATCGACCTTTAAAAGTCTTATTTCTGATTGGTAGAATGGCAATTTGGCCGTCAATATTTTTCGGTAATTAAATTAATTTTGATTAATCTTTTTCTTCTATAGTTATTAGGCAACTGAGAACCATCCCATTTTGTACTTAACCTCTATCCTTCTCTATTTGACGATTTTTCTTTCCAATCCGAACCTTCGCCAAGTAGTCCAGTGTCTTTCTTGATCGAATCCTCCCTCTTTGTTTTAGATGTCTTCAACGTTATTTTTCGGCACGGGTTGTATTCCATTACTACTTTTATCACAAATGTCTTAATGTTAGATTTTAAAATGATCAAAGATGACATCAGTGAAAAAACAATAAAAAATATTAATGAACAAAAAAATATAAACAATTAATACGAATGTAATTATCAAATTGAGTATAATATATTTTATGAAAACGGAGAGCATATGAAAGAAATTTACGAAAACAATATTAGTAACAACAGTGTGAAAAAATTAAAAGACCAGTGCGTGTTACGAGTACACGTCAATGAAATGAAACTTCTTTCAAAGTCATTCAAATGATAAAATATTAGGTTTTTATTGGGATAAAATAAAAAATTCACGTAAAAATTTTCTTTTAAATTAAAATTATATTAATTTATTATTATTAATTTTATTTTAAAACTTAAAATATTTTTTCATTAACGTTTAGGGTATTTTATTAAATAGCTACCATAAATATAATAATATAATTATTATAATATAAAATGTACTTTATAGCCTACCGTGACGCTCAATAATCTGTTTATTTTTTCGGACTCTCTATAAAGAAGTTTCATTTCAAAAAAGCAAATATGGTGTTAAAAAGAAGAAACGTAACGTTGAAGTTAATGGAGCAATAATAAAATGATCTAAAATTATAAATGCTGATGAAGAAAATGATAATAATTTTAAAAATAATGATGAAATGAAAGAAAATACTGAAGATAATGAACTATGCAAAAGATAGAAGAAAAATTCAGTTTACTAGTGTTTTTCGCTGTGCGAATAAGTTAAAAAAAACTTGTCTTTTTGTACCAATTATATTGTCAATATAAAACAACAGCGAAATTAAATTTTTTGGCAACCAACGATCTTAATAACTTATTTCAGCACAACATTGAAAAAATAAAAAATTGAATTTAAAATTTTTCATTCAAATTATTTTAAATAATAAGTTAACAAAAATTTTTCTTTGTTAATGTATTATACATATTACTTACATATTAAACAACAAAAACAATACATAATAAGTTCTTATAACTTATTAACATTAAGTTAGCTATTTAATAACGAAAAATTTTACTTGATTTGTAATGAGGAAATAATGATTACAAGTTACATATATTATTGCTCATTTTAGTCAAACATGATGAAAAACGATTTAAAATAATAAATGAAACATTTTTTCTACCACATAATAAAGTAAAACACTAGAATAATATAAATTTACTTTTTTATTCTATCTCTGATTTATTATTATTTTACATAGATAATTGCAGTAGTTTTAAAAAAATCTTAAATTCAAATATCAAAAGACAGTTAAATAAAAATCGATTGATTATCAAAAATTCATCGATTTAAAATACATTTTGGATGTGGGTACTGTACTCATACTCAATTTTTAAGTCAAAATTATAAAACCATTTTTCATTTATTTCAATAGACAATTTTAAATTTATTAGTTTTTCCTATGAAATAGAAATTGTATAATCATTAGATAAACAATTAAAAAATAAAATGGATTGTTCTCAACGACACACAGTAATCACTAATAAATAATAAAAAATATTATTTCGATGTGTAGTTTGTCTAATAAATATCAAAAATTCATTAAAAGTATGCGTTATTACGAACTTAAAAATAAATACTAACATTAATAAAATATACAAGGCTAAAAAATTAACATCAGACGAAGTGAAAAATTGTATGCCAAAATTGTCTTTATGTGGTAGTGATAAAAATTGATATGACCCTTATGAACTTAATCTTGTCTTAGATGATTTAAACTTGACGACTATAACGGATCAGTTATTTAAAAAATTGAGGATTTTAAAGAGAGAAATTACTTGTCTATTTTAACTTCGATGCGATACTAAGAATGTATTGGTTTCACTGCATTGTGCAAATTCTTATATCTGTTCATGAAATTTTTTAACTCCCATCGGACTGACTTTGTTGGTCTATGCATCAAAAGAATTTAATTTTCATCTAATTGAACGTATCATGATAAAAAATCATACGTATCAATTTAGAAAAAATATCTCAAAATTACGCTACTAAAAAATTTTATTCTACATTTTAAAAATGCTATAACCTTTTTTAAAATCACTTATCCCAAATAAAATTTATATACACAATACTAATGACAATAATATTTGTTTCGGTTTTATTTTGATAAAAATACATATAATAAAATACAGGAAAGTACAAGAATGATTTGAACTTACGTATACACAAAAAAATTGTTAACTCAATTTTAGAAAATATTCTTTTAATCTATATCAAATTAAATTTTTTTAAACAAACCATGACATTTAAAAAAAATCATCCCATTAATTTTTCTACTATAAAAAATTACCGTTACAATTAAAAAGTTCGCAATTTTTACGAAAAAATTACCTAATTTTAAATTATTTACTTGTAACTATTTGTCAACTATAACCATAATATGGTTATTCGTTATCAGTTGCGTACAAAAAAAAAACAAAACTTGATTTTTAATAAATACAGCTTTATTATTCAATATTATTAAATTTTATTACACTTATCAAAATTAATTTGTACATTTTTTATTTAATTTAATATTATTTAAATAGTGTGTTGTAAGGGACTTTAGTAAAAAATGCTTGAGCTATTGACTGCAATTTGTTCCCCAACGTTACTTCAAAACTTGGCTGTACTTGGTTTAAAATCATTTTCCAATTTTTATTCAGATATTTATTCATATTATTTCCTAATCAAAAAATATGAATATTAAAACTTCACAGCTATATATATTTTGTATTATACGTACCCATGTATTTATCACCATTAAAAAGATTTTCGAAGTTAATGTATAATCTATTTGAGGTAAATTTTATGTCTAATATTTCTAAGTCCATGTGATTTTGTCCATTTTTTGCCACTGGACGTCCCTTCACGTCTATTGATGCCTTAACGTCTTCTATTAATCACAATAGTTATCAAAATAAGAATAATTTCTAAAGTTTATGTTTCAAATGACAAATAATAGTATTTACCTAAAGTTAGATTACTTTTGCCTTCACCATTAATTGGTAATATAATCGCTTTTCCATTAATTTTATAATTAGAATCAAGAATCAGTGGTTGGGAGAATTCCACATTAAGGTTGAATAAATATTTATCAATGTCTGATCTAAAATCAAAAAGTTATAAACCAATATCAAAAATTATTTTTTTTACCATATTTTCTAATTAGTAGAATAATAATAATAATTTTCTTAAATAAGCTAAAATAGTACACAATTATAGTAAAAAAAAGTCAACTTTCAACAAGATATTTTTCATTGTTTACTAATGTTCAGTTAAATTTGTTGTGAGCAAAATGTAGGTATCTACTAAAATCTGTATCAATAATTATCTTAAATCACTTACTTAATCGATAATATTTTTACTGAACCAAAGTTAAATATGTTCATGTCCTTTAAACTGAGTTTAAATACGAATGGACCTTTTGTTTGTTCAATATCCATTTCAGTAATGTATAATGGATCGATTGGTACCACATCTAAATTAGGATAACCTAAAATTACAAATTTATTGTATTTTCATGATCATTTAACTATTGTCATGCATATCAATTAAAAGTAATATTATTATTTTTATAATAAAACACTGAACTTTTTGTTTTAATTTATTAAATTATAATATTATATGCTGGTAAATGTGTTAACATATATTATCTCCAAATACTGAATACCAGTAGAGTTATTAAACGTGGAAACGTTTAAAAATATTTATTCATGTCAAATAATTACAAGTAATTGTTAAATGAAAGTGAAAACTACAAAAATTACACAAAAGAAAATAGGTGAAGTATAAAACAAATAAATTCATATCGTTTTACTGAATTTCATATATTTATAATCAAACCAATTAAAATTAATATCTGGTAAAAATTATTTCAAGTGTAATTATTGAATATTTTATGGTTAAACTTATATAAGTACTTAAGGTAGTAAAAATTTTTAAGTATTGCAATTTAACTATACAAGATGACTGATTTTAAGTAAGACACTCATTTTTCAGAAAATGTTGAATTTTTTTAATTATTGTAAAGAGAAAATTATCTGATTAAACAAAACAAAAATATGTGGTTGAATAATTTTTTTTTTATCCTATATCAAAAATAAAAATTTTAACTTTAATTTTTATAATTGGGGACCCTTTTATTTAACATGATTATGTTATGAATGTGTTAAAGCTTTCATGGATTGTCTTGTTGCTTGAAGTGCTTAAGAATATATAACCATGTTAAGGGTACATCCTCAAGCACTTCAAGCAATGATTATGTGATATAAAAAAATTACAAAAAATTTTGTTAAAAAAAAAAGGTCTATTTACCTTTGAGTACACGTGGAACTCCAGATTGTAGTGCTTTTTGTATACATTTGTTTACTAAAGGATCAGATCTCTTACATGTTATGAATCCATCAGCTGTAAAAAGATAAATTATTATAAATTGCTTTGAAATATCAAAGAAAAAAATAAATAAATACCAGAAATATTATATTTTTGTTAATAATTAAAATTAAGTTCTTACGCAATTGAATCAATTGGGTTGATCGGGCTTGATTGGTTGATTTAATCATCTGGATTATAAACATGAGACATAAAAGGGTTGTCACATCACCGATTAAAGCCATTGTACTTATTATTATTATTATTATAAAAAAACTCAATTTTTACAAGAACATGGAATTTTTATAATCCAAATATTATATGATAATGATCGAATAGACTTGACGAACTATTTGGCACTTTTATCGATAGCAACGTATTATATACTATTTGAAGTACAAATGATATTTCAATCTATATTGGCAGACACCTTGACCTCGAGTTTCATGTTAATAAAATATTTTCCACCACTTTTCTTGTAGATAATGATGATTATTATAAAAATACTATGGTGAATAATTTTTTTCAAAATTGGACAGCTAAAAGTGCTAACAATAACGTTTTAGTCGTATGAGACTTTCGTAAAATTAATTAGTCAATTAGTTTGATGTACTTATGGCGAACGTGTACACCGGCACGTTCATTTAGTCAGATAATTCATTAAAGTTAAAAAAAGAATAAGATATATTTATCAACGCTTTTTTTAAGCATTTATTTTTCTAACAATTATTTTGGTAGTTTTACTCTAATAAATAGAACGAACATTTTAATATTTTTCATATTAAAATAGATTTCTGTTTCTACGGCCATAATGATTTAACTGTTGTCACGAACGCCACAAAAATAAATGATAACAATTCACTTTTTCTCGTTATTATGACTTAAGCGGCCCCTACACGATCAATAATACTGAATCAATTAAATTGTGTCAATATTTATTTGCCCTAAACCTCTCAATGTTATTGTCCAATATTCAATTGAAAAATATTCTCTACTTATGAACCTATCATCACAGGCGTATATTTAATGCGTGTTTACATAAGAGTAGTGACATTTACAATCAATTTATGTGATATTATAAATTACCACTGTTTTAAAAATGTATCTAACCGATAACCCATAACCACTATTGCGTAATTTTGTACAATATCACATGCTAAGGTGCAATAATATTGTGTGTTGTGCAATAAATTTCCAACCCTGTTTGATTTCTTCAATATATTGTTCAATCCTTCAATATCCATAATTAACTTTCAATAATATTGCGCAATATCAATTATTGTTCAATATTATTGATCGCGAAGGGGCCACTTAAAAAATATTTATCCTCATTTTTTATTGTTTCATTATCTCTTACTTGTTCTTTGGTAGGCAGTGATGTAAAAATATCGCATTTTATATTTCAGGAGTATATTACATATTTAAAAAAAAATTACTTTTAAGATTACATAATAAATATATAGGTTGTTTAAGAAACAACTAAAGTCAAAAAATACTATTAATTCTAAAAAAAATTATTTTAAAATCAGAGACAAACAGTATAAAAAAATAAATACAATTTTAAATATTAACTTTCAGTTTGGATTTATGCCTGGTAAGCCAATAATGAAGCCATTATTTTATGTGAGCAACTAATAGAAAAGTATAGGAAAAAGAAGAAAAACCTGTGTATGATATTTATAGATTTGAAGAAAACGTTTTGAAAGCATTGAAAGAGATTTTAAAGTCGTCATTATTGATAAAAATATTCAATGGGTACAAAAATATAACAGAGGATATGTATAGAGGCACTTGTACCAGCGTAAAAAGTGTGGCCGGAGTAACATATTGTTTTTGTAAATTTCTTTAATATTGTCTCTGTTTTCCTAAAATTTTAAAATTATATTAGTCGTTAATATAAAAATTATATTTCGTGATGATGATGTGAAAAAAAGGTGAAACTAGTATTCTGAAAAATTACTGAATGAGGAGTACCTAATAGAGACATTAGAGGATATCTCGTGGAATGAGAGACTGGTAGATTTAATTAGTGAGAAATAGGTATGGGGAGGCTGTGGAATCAATGAAAAAAAATAAAGCAATAGGACCAGATGAAATGCCAGTAGAAGTATGGAAAATATTAGGCGGTATGTGATCCGCGTGAGCTCAATGACTCTCTTAGACTTGAAAGGGTTCAGCCTAAATTTATGAGATGTGCTAGTTTTAGATTAAATATCCCTTGTGAACCTCACAACTATGGACCAGTTGCTTCTCAACTAGGGCTGGTTTCGCTGACTGAGCGTAGACGGATCTCGGGTATTAATTTCCTAAATAGTTTATTACAAGGTAATATTGATTCTCCCTATTTGCTTTCTTTAATTTGTTTTAGAGTTCCTCAACGTCATTCCCGATCTGTTGCTCCTTTTTATGTGAAATAATTCGAAGCTGAAGTTTAACATAAAAATAAAATAAAATAATAAGAATCCCAGTCTGTTGTGTAGACATTAAGGCCACAAAGACCAAACTCAATCCCCTATTGACCACCATATTAGTTTCTAAAATGAATTGATGAACAAAAAAAATAGGTCATAATAAATATTTGTTGAGATTTATTGAATATGGCATTTCCCTTTTAAGATATCCTGTTTATGTCACTGACTCTATTCAATTACATAATGAATGAAGGTGACAGGATCATTTTTGTTGATTTTGCAATAAAGATGAAAAACTGTCTAGAGTTTGGTATGTTTTTTTGTAGTAAATTGTAATTTTAAACAGAGGTCGGATTAAAAAAAAAAATTCTGCAATTAGCGATTTATTTAACGTAACGATATCAAACCAAATTTGCATTATATTTCCTCAGGATATTTTTTAAACAATTTTTTTAACTCATTGGAGGATATTCATTACATTTTTAATAAATGCAAATCTTTACTATATTTTTATACATACAATTGAAAAAAGTATTTTAAATTTCTAATGCAAGGCTATCTATTTATAAAAAATAATTAGTTAACTTGGCTACTTTTGACTAGATAGCGCCACGTAGAAAACTGGTTTGCTATATCAATAGCGGCTCAATTCAGTAGTCATAATGCTAAATCTGTCTACATAACTGTCCTCACGATCAAAAATCAGAAATAATAATAATTACAGATATTTTGTACGATTATAAATTTAATAGTAATTAAATAATTAAATGCGTACTTAATCTATGGTATGGTTGATAAAAAAAAATTTACAAATGATTATTTTTATTCATCGGTATAATATAAATATCCATAAGTAAAATAAATATCACTCGTAGATGAGTTAGGTGTTTTACACATTATAAGCATCTGGTTATACTACTAGATAGTAGTAAAACCACTAACTGTTGTAAATGGTGGCCGCCATTTGTTGAGAAGTTTCTAGATGGAGCGCGATCTACGTTACATGCTTCTTCTTCGCCGAATCTTCTTTAAGCTTCTATGTGTAGCGTACTCTATACACGAAGACATAAATATAGAATGGTTCGCCCTCTAACGAACAGTTTGTTATCGATTTCACTCTCGTCTTGTGTCGTACAGTGAATCATGTAAATATTTGGACATAGTCTAGAAAAAAATAAAATGCCTATTGAAATGACATCGCCTTACAAACATATAATTATAGGTTTGTAAGGCGATGAACAGTGATTAAACCATACTTAAGTATGGTTTAATTACTTGTTCAAACATTTTTCATGTTAATCATACTTAAAGGTCTATAAAACTATTGCGAATCGAGAGGCAAATTAATTTTCTAAACCATTTCCGAATATTTCATTGACTCCCCTGTATGTACGTGAAATGTAAGAATATACATTGCACTTTCTTACTCCTGTGATTTAACGTTAGGACTTTAATTAATAAAAGCGGTTCAAATATTTTCTTGTTTGTAATTATTAAAGTAAATTCCATATATGCATAGATTTACATAGATTAGATGCGTAATTTGAAAAATTAGTCTGCGATATCAATCTATTTCATCAATTTTGGTAATAGATCTGACGGAAAGCTCTCTATCACATTTCTTTATCTCCCCATCAAAAAAATCAACTCATTTGAGGGAGCTACTATGGAAACTGCGCTAATGACAATGAGTATGAAGCAATAACAATTTCTGACTAGTAATCTTTTCAAAATAAAATCTTAATATTTATTTCCTAAAATTTTGGAAAATGAAGATAGCTGGTAATTATATTATAGTGATATAATTACGGGATTGTAAAAAGTCACGCTTGTCACTCCTGACAAAATCGAAGAGTTGCAAAAGTGTACTTATATTATGTAAGATTGTGCCAAGTCGACAGCCGGTGTAAAATTTTGTCAAAAAGTATGAAGAACCCTGAACAGAACTTAGGCAGATTGTCCTATCTCAGATGTACGCGGGGACTATAGGTAAGAGAAAATAAAGTAGTTAGAGACGGAGAAGGCCTAAAGAATAAAGTATTTGATACCAGCCAGATGGACAACTTGTGCAGTATCTGTTTCACTAGTCATTTGTACAGGCCTATCCAACACTTGTAGTGTCTGCGGTGTATGGACATCATCAGGAAAGGTATCGTGTTGCATATTGTTCGCTGATGATATATTGTTAATAGGATAAAATAGGGAGAAAATTAATCAATGTGACCATAAATGATGGGAGAGATTGTGTCAAATGGAAGTTTAGAATGAGGGTGTCCGACGACAAATAGTTGGGATAAAGGCGAGGAAAAAAAAAGAAATTTTTCTGACGCAACTCAATATGACAAACCCAACCACTCTTAATGAAAATTTGTTTATATTTTTAAGTAATTAATTAGTATGTTTTTTTTTTTGTTATAATACTTTTAATCAACTTATTAAAGAGTTAATTACAACTACTGTAGCCATATGTATGATCTTTTGCACTAGTTAATATTCCTATAATAAATGTTATCTTAGATTTTTAAATATATAAACCTATAAAAAACATTAATATTTTATTCACATAGTAGATATAAAGTTGTTCATATATTAATCAAAATGTGTTCATAAAATAGTTATTTTAGATTAGTTTAGCTCTTCTAATCTTCAGAGCTTTTAGGAATCTTCTTTCCTCTTAAGGTATTTTCCCGGTTTCATATATTCTATAAACTAGTTCATATAGCACATTATTGACATTTTCTCAGCTATTCTTAATCAATTCTGCTGGTATTTCGTCTACCCCTGGAACTTTCCTATCTTTTAACTCTTTTAAAGCTTTTTCGAATTCTTCATTCATTATGGTTCAGTCTTCACATTCTGAGTTTAACCAATCTTCTTCCTCCTCTTTTTGTGTGTCTTTTTCCTCTCCGTATAAGTGTTCTAGGTATTTTTGGTATTTATATTTTTGGTTCTAGGTATTTTGTGTGNTCTTCTTCCTCCTCTTCTTGTGTGTCTGAATCTTTTTCCTCTCCGTATAAGTGTTCTAGGTATTTTTTCCAGCGATTTGTTACCTCGGATTCTTCAAATAGAATATTACCAATTTTACTTTTGATACATGTCAGCTTTATTTTCCTGTCTCTGAAAAAGACTTTTACCGTTCCATTTTGATCTATATGATAGTCATATTTGTATTTTGTGCAACATAGTAGTCACTATATGAATCTATATCCTGATAAATTAAAAACATAGTTTTAAAAACTCAAATGTTCATTAATTTTTATTAGTATATACTAATTTATATTTAATTAAAATTAAAATTGTAACATCATAGGTTATTTTATGTAAAAAACAGGATGATTGATAAATATTCAATTAAATATAATATTGTAAAAAAAATCTGTGTGAAGTTCTGAGATCATTTAAAAGATTAAGTTGATATATATTTTATGTAGTATTATAAATTTAAAAGGAACTGTAATTATTATTTTTTTTTTAATTCTCAAATTTATTATAAAATTTAGTCAATGTACATTCATTTTATCTAAAAAATCAAGAGCTTTTATTTTGAACGTTGTTTTTTTAAGGTAGGTTTTTGAAACACTTGTTTCATACCGCCAGCTTGATTAGTATGGAATTTTAGATTTTGTGAAGTTTCTGATACCCAAGGTGAATCAAAACTTGTGGTATCTTGATCAACCAAATGAGTATACTTAGTTCTACCACTGCGCCCAAAGTTTTTAACCTTAAATGAACAAAAAATAGATTAGCAAAGTTGAATTAATTAAATTATTATTTTAATTTTACCTGCATAACTTTAGGTAAAATTGTTTTATCAAAATGATCTTCCAACGTTGCTGATGAGTAATCCCTCTTGAGGATTTCATTTTCTTCATCCTAAAATTTTGAATAAATTATAATAAAAAGGTTATGTAAAATACATCCTACACAAAATTTTTTTTTTTAATTTTAGTTGCTAGATTTTTTTTAATTAATAATTTAACAACCATATTTTTTTTTGTTTTCTTGATTTATGAATTGTGTATTTTTTTTTATCCATATTAGCAATCTCATATTCTATTAATGAAATCTCTACTTTATATAAAAATAACTTGCATATTTAACTAGCTCACATATAAGATAACAATAAAATTTAGAAAACAACTGATCAATAACAATTTTCAAATCAGCATATAGAAATATATGTATTACTATAAGAAGTGTGCAGTGACATCATTTGAAATACTGATTCAAATGTAGTTATGGACTAACTATTTTCTTAATTAGATCATTTTCATATATGCAAGTACATAAAATGGCGTAATACCATTAATAAAATAAAGTTGGCACTCTTATAAGGAATAAAACTAAAAATATAAATTAATTCATAAATCAAAATAAAACTAAAAATAACAAATTTCCTAATATAATTATTATATTATGGAAATCAAGTGACTATTATATAAAATTGTTTTATATTTAAAAACAGATCTTACACAAATATCAGCCTTAATTGATTTTATTAATTATCATAGAATTTCATTAAAAATTTACTAATAAATCTATTTCACTAGATTATATTACATAAATATTTGAAGTTGACTAACCAAGTAAAATGCACCCCGATGATAATACTTCTGCATAAATTTATATTTTCCTTTAGCAGCTTTATTTGTAACCTTTTTAGGATTCAGTCTCAACTCTAAACGTCTTTCTTCTTCAGTCATATTTCTAAGGCGTTCAATTTCTGCTTTTTCAGCTTCACGTCTAGAATAATATTTAAGTCATGTTTTTAATCAGTATTTACAGTTTTATTTTCAAATATTTTTAAATAAAAAAGAAATAACATCATTTTTACTACAAGAAATTATAACTTTGAAGTTCCAATTTGAATTTTTTTTATTTGAATTACTATTAATAAGATTGGATTATGTATTTAGTCCTTATTAAGAAATTTTATATTAATTTTTACTGAGTTACGGAAACTATCACAACTTCTTTTTTTTAATTATTAAATGAATATGTCAATACTTAATAGGTACAATCATGTAATCTACATTTTTATTTGTTTTTAAGAATCAAAAAAACCATTTTTTTAATAATTTTTAATCACCCCATTAGTTAGATACAAAAATATTGATTTTTTTGCATATTCAGTGCAATATAGATTATTAACATATTTCTTTAAAAAATATTGAAGACCAATTTTGAAGCTTTAACATATACGGTATGTCGTTTCTGTCATATCTTTTAATGATAATAAAACAAACTGAGGATATTTTTATGTTAATGATTATTGAAACAATTTATTTACCAAAACTTCAGGAATATTTTGATACCTATATCACATTTTCATAAAATTTATCACTTACACAATTTGACTTATTAAAGCTCAATATGGTAATGTATAATAAAATTTTAAACTTTATACCTATGTCTAAGCTTGTAATTAGTAATAGGATATTAATAATACTTACAAATCATGTTCTTCTCTATCTCTCTTAATTCTTTTTAATTCTCTGAGTTTCCAGGCCTCATATTCATTTTCATCATTTTCATCATCAGTATTAACATCTTCTAGACTTGCTTCAGTAGGAGCAGTATTAGCTTTGACTAAAGCTTGTTCTTTACGAATTTCTTCTTCAACCATCTATAAAAAATACAAATAATTAATATTTAAAAGATCTGTATTCAAAATTACTAGTTTATTAATATGATGATTGATTAACTGCTTTGTTAGTAAGAGTATTCTAAAATTTATTACATTTTTAATATGTAATTTAAATAATTTCAAGTTGAAGAATCCTAAACTTTATTAAGAATTAAAATCATTTTTTTTTATAATAAGAATAAATAACAACTTTGCTAATAAAACTTTGCTAATTAATATTTTTTTAAAAATTGTTTTAGTTTATTATATTCAATATTAATTTTGTAGCTTTTATAAAGAGAGTTAAGTATTAATGTACCCTTAAAGTAGCTCTACGGCGTTCTTCAGCTAATTTTTTTTGTTCATACTCAAGTTGCTTTTGTTTTATATCTTCTTTTTCTTTTTGTATAATTGTTACACGATCTCTTTTTCTGACAAAAATTGGTTTAAGACGAGGACCTGCATCTTCATCAGAAGCTGAAAGATTCAAGTTATATGAATTATATATACTTATGTTTGAGTTTGTTAAATTCAGATCCGGATTATGGGGGAAAGGGGGCATATTTTCCAGTGCCCAACTAAGTCTTAATCCAGCCCTGGTTAAATTCAAAAATTAAAAATACACTACCAGAATATTCTTCATACTCGGACGATTCATCACTGCTATCATCATCTGAACCATGTCCTTCTTCTTCCTTTTCTAGTACTTCATTCATTTCCTATATGTCAAATAAAAATTTTACAATTACAAAATCTAAAATTTTTTAAACAAATCAGTTAACATATTAAATTAAATAATTTGAAGCTGAGAATGTATTAATTTTACCATGATGTGTTAATTCATTTTTTTTTTTTTTTGTATTAATTTTTTACGCCTAGATTTTTTTGTATTTTATATAAATACCTTTTATCTGACTTTTTTTAAATTGAAAAACTGTAAAAAAAGTGATTATAGTGATTGGGTAGCCTATTTTCATAAATTTTATATGAATGTAATCTACATTGAATATAAAATTAAAGTTATTTTGATTCTTTTGGCAATGCCTAGCTCCTAAGTTGAGAAAAAAGACTTTGAAAATTTGAAATAACTTGAATTTTATCATCCTGGAAGTGCATTGTACAATTACTGGCATTACAAAAATTTGATTAATCAAATTTATGACGATGTGGCTTCTAACCATTAATACCAATTACATAAAACTTACTTTAGCTTTGGTTTGATTCAAAACTCTTTGCCTAAGTTTTTGCCTTCTTCTTTCTATTTCACTATCACTCAAATCTCCATCATCATCATTACTGTCTTTTTCATCACCGGATACTTGACGGCGATGTCTTCTATTTTGCTCAACATCCGATTCTTCACCAGATGATGAATCTTTTATTATTTCAGGCTCTTGAAGTGGTCGTTTTTCTTTTTGTCCTTTTCGAGAAGTTAATCCTCCTAAACGTCTAAGACGTGCATCATCAAGAGCATTAGATGGTAGCTGAACCATTTTTTCATCATTAAAATTTGTCATAGGAGAACCACCACGAACATTACGTTGTTCAATGAAGTCTTCATCATCTGATTCTTCTTCTGAAGTTGATTGAGGAGCATATTGAGGTCTCTTACCAGTAATATAGCGATGCACTTTTACTTTTTGCATTGATACTTCGCCTATAAAATGAAAATACATCAGTAATATCTAAACATATTCTATAATTCAAAAAAAAATAACCTTTTTCATTTCGGACAGGGATTGCTCCTGCTGTACTTTGTATTTCTTCCATTTTAAATTTCGATATTTTAAAAATGTTAGAATTACTAACTAATATTATATTGAAAACAATTATTAAAGTTCAAATTGGTGATAACGTTTTTTACAATCATTTACAATAATATTGCACAATAGATAAGATCTATTTTTTGATAAAGTAATGGATCGGCTCTTCTATAGATATTAATATTAATCCAAACTGTTCTTGTACTAACATTCACGTCTATATATAATATATGAATAACAATGTAAAGGGTGGTGTGCCAAAATAAGGAAGGAAATTATTTTTATTATAGTGCTATGTCGCTTGAACAAGTGCTTTATCATAATTTTAAATGTCCCCTTGTTTAAATGTTTATTCGTGCGTAAAATAGACAAGTACACTATAACCACAGAAAATATAAATTCTATTTTGTGCTGTAACTATGATTTCACAGCCGATCCCATTCTTATATTATTTATTTTTATTGATTACAGAGGTTTACTCTGATATTCATATACTGCGATATTATAAAATCGCAACTAATATAAAGGAAAACACCTTTGCCACGTACTGATAATACTTCGATACTCTTATAGTACCACAGATATATAATATGTCTGTGGACATTTTATAAAGAGGATATTGCTTCGAACATTTGGTACTCCGAATATCTGATACTAGAGGTTACCGTAACAATAATAAACATTACTTCAACATTTGTAGTACTTTCCCATTGTGTTCTTTTACTTTATACAATAATATCACAAGAGTATACCGAAATCAGTTCTAATTGCACTATACTTAATAATATCGGCATATGTGAATGTCGGAGAATTATCAGTTCGTGTTAATCCTCGTAATCCTCTTAAGTCATTTACAAATGATCTAATCAAGGGCTTGATTAAACACTAAATAGATAAGATAATCCATTCTTTGTATTGATAAAATTTATCTATTATCAAATCATATATTTACTGCTACACTAAAACCATTAAATTAATAAATAAGTAACTTTAATTTTAAAAGACCAGGATCTGAGTGGTGGTATATTCTTTTCTATCCTTATATAGAGTTATACATTTCATACTACTCCTACAATAAACTAGTCAATTGTATGTTCTGTCTAATTTATTGTTAATTTGTGATTAGAAATTTTATTTATATATTTTTAACCAAATTATTCTGTTGTTGTAGTTGTAAAGACTTGTCTATAATTATTGTTATTATAGTAAGTTCACTATCATTTATCATAAAAATCCTAATTTTATTAAATGTTTTCAAAAAACAGGTTGTTGGATACCTATTGTATTATTTAAAGGTAATTTCAAAATTAATTTCTATGAAAATTTAAAACTCTAGAATGAAGATTTCGTTTGAAATTGAATTAGTTTTACATGAGTGATATCAATAGTTCATCAAAATGTTAGCAGAAGGAGCTCATTATATTAAACGGTAAACAAAAATGATTAAACATTTTAAGTATTTTTTTTATTATTTTATAACTTTTAATTTATGTGTTGGGTGTTTTTTTATTGATAATTCATGCACAAAATAGCTGATATTTTTTGTTGATTTTAATTATGATACGGATAGGAAATCTAGATTTTCATGCACATAAATGATGAACTCATAATTCGAAAATGCTACCATTTTATACTTGTGAAAGTTGAATTAATATTAATTCTTAAAATCTGAAATAAATTTCTTGAAAATTTGATTAGTTCTGCACTTCTCTATTTTCTATGTTCAATTAACAATATCTTGTTAATTATTTTCTCATAAATACAGAGAAATACAGAGTAATTATCATTAACTACTCAATTACTTGCAAAATAAATACAAAATTGAAAAAAATGTGGTATTCTTTTTAGTTGCATGTATTTTTTCATTTTTCAGCTATTAACTACTTTTTAATATCATTCTTCATAACTTATAGCAATGTCAATTTTATTATTTTAAAAGGCAACATTCATATTTAACTGATACATAAAATAAAAAATGACTTGTTGATAACAACTTTTAGAAAAATATTTTAGAAGTTATAATAATTTTAAAATGTAGATTAGGAAGGAGATGAAATAATGACTATTTTTATCATTAAAAATTCTCTGCTGCACACCTCCTGTTTAAATTTTAATAAAGTAACCTTTTTGCATAGTATTTATAAAAATTAAATGAAAATTAATCATGTAGATGATGCTACATCTGGTGTACCCCAAATTGGGCATATGTCACCTCTTTTGTTTATAATTTTTATAAATGATCTTAGTAATGTTTTCAATCACTGTAGATGTTTATTATTTGCGGATGATTTGAAGTTATACTTACAAATTAACTCACCTAGTGACTTTTTTAAATTACAATCAGATCTAGATAAATTTATATTATGGTGTTTTGAAAATGGTTTACAAATAAATAGTGACAAATGCTCACAAATTACGTTCAGTAGAGTTAAATCTTTTTACAATTATCAATATGTAATTAATGGTTTTAACCTTTCTATAGACAATCACATAAAAGATTTAGGCGTTTTTCTGTCTTGTGATTTATCTTTTTCGAAACATATTAGCTATATTTACAATTAAGCGTCACGTACATTAGGATTCATAAGACGTAATTGCAATGAATTTGATGATATTGATTGTTTAAAAACTTAATACTTTTCTCTTGTAAGATCTGGCCTGGAGTACGGTTCTATTATTTGGTCCCCATTTATAGCCAACGATATAAAAAAGATTGAATCTATTCAAAAACGTTTCTTAACCTCTTTATCGGGCAAATTTAATAACAATAGGATTAACCAAAAGATTTTTTTAATAATTTGAAAATTGACTCTCTATTATGTAGAAGACAATATTTAGATGTAAAGTGGATGTATAATTTACTCAATAACAAAATCGATTGTTCCGAAATTTTAGAAAAGATACCATTCAATGTTCCTCAAGTATTTCTTCGTAATAATTCCATGTTTTATATACCTACCCTCACGTAGAACTATTGTAAAAACTCACCAGTTAATCGCATGCTAAACTTATGTAATTCATTAAAAAATTTTGATTTTAATCATGATTTGTCAACATTATTATTGTCAACATGTCATATTACTTTCAAAGTATAATTTTAAGTAATCTTTCAAATGTTTACTTTATATTTATTTACATTAATTTTGTATTTTTTTTAGTTTAATATTTATAACTTTGAAGTTTTTTAAGTTTTATAGTTTGTTATTATTTGTGTTGATTTGTATTATTTCTGTACTGTCTGCCCTAATAGGCATAATCATCATCATCATTTTGAATGATGAAATAAATAAATAAATAAATAAAAATTTAAGTACAGGAAGGGTTTGTAGTATTTATTATTTTTTCTATGAAATGTCTAAAAATTTATTTATCATTAGTGTATTATAGTTTTTACTAATTTACATATAAAAAAAAAACTAGCACAGTGGGGTAAATGTATATTTACAAGAACAGTAAACTATAAGTATTGGACTAAATGTATTAAAATATTTAGTACTTTTTTAAACAAATTCAGAAAAAGTATTTTTAGAAATATCCTAAATACTTTTAATTTGTATATAATATAACAAAAAAATGGTAGAACAGTGGAACATGTCATAGTTATGTATGATGTTAAGTATGGATAATATTTGAAAATGATAATCATTCATAATTATCATAATCACTATCCTAAAAAATGCTTTGATGCGAATCTGTTAAATAGGTTAAACAATTACAGAAATTTGTAATATATATTGTGTGATTAACAAATATTTTAATAAGTATTTAATATTTGATTGAAAATTTAAAATATAGAAACTGTAAAAATACAAATTAATATAAAATTTAACAAATTTGTAACAAATCATTTTTTTGTTATAGTGATAATAATCCCTGTCTGATATCATTTATATTTTTCCTAACTACATAGCAACCTCATTGTGCTAGGTTTTAAATAAGTTGGATTTTAAGTTGCAAAAAATACTCTAATATCTTTATTTTTGAGCAATACTATAACTATCCTTTCAAAAAAATAGTACTCTTTTCAAATTCTGTGATAAGTAAATGAAGTGAGCATATTTATGTACTCATATTTTTAAGCCCTGTTAATAAAAAAAAAAATAAGATTTTTATCTAAATAATTTTGTTGTTTTTCTAAAATAAAATATAAAATTAATGTTTAGATTTTTTTTTTTTGTTTAAAAAAAAATAATCAAACTAGCGTATTACTGTGTAAAAATTAAAATATTAGAGTTAATACAGATCTATTAAAACAACTCTTTTTTCTTTCATTTTTATAAGGAAAATATTAGTATTAAATATTTTTGTTGTACATTTATTAAGTAATATATTTTAAATTGTTTCAATAGAAGAGTAAGATCTGGTGCCATAGATGCTCATCCAACAGAAACTGCTATTGTTGTCAATTATGAACTAGATGCTTTTGTACTTGGTGAAAATGGTGAACCTGTCATAGGAGATCATAAGGTTATTAAATAGTCGACAAATGATTTGATTTTCAGGCTATTTTGACTACAGTCTATAGATATTCAACTTGTTAAAATAATTTTTGTTATCTAATCTGATAAATGAATCTCAAAATTCTTGTTATTAGAAATTATTGAAATACGAATGGTGTCCGTAAAATAAGATCTCCAATTTTTTTTTCCATAGTAAATAACATTTATTTTTAAAACAAATTACAATGTCAGAAAGTCCGATCCTACCTTTATTTTTTGACATAATCGCCATTTCATTCAATGTATTTTTGGAGTCTTGTCACAAATTAATTGCATACCGTAGAAACTTGTTTTCCACTTCTGTGACTTCTTCGTCAGTTGTAAAGTACATACCTTTTAGGTGTTTTTTAAGGGTCTTGTAAAGATGATAGTCGCTTGGTGCAACAATACATATACCGAAGATGATCCTAGATATCCCATCAGAATATGGCAATGAGTTTTAGGATTGTCTTTGCAACATAAAAGCATACTGGGTACCCATCGGGATCAGACCTTGTGGAATCCCTAATTTTTTGTTAAAATCTTGTCAATAGTGGCTTTAGTAACATCTGGAACTATTTCATAAACTACTCTAACCATCATACACCGATCTTTGCACACAAGCATATCCACAGATGCAACGGTCTCGTTGGTGATGGATAGACACCCTGTGCTCGGCTCATCGTGGAAATTTGTTGAACACGCCGAAAATTCTCTGCACCACTTCCTGACTTTTTTGATAACATTCAGGCTGTATGTTGAAGTCAGTTGTCAATAAATTTCAATGGGTGAAGTCCCTTTAAAGTGAAATAATCAGATTATAGAACATATCTTGCACGGTAATAATGATCATTCCTTCCATTGTGAATGGCTGCTGTGCCAAGATTAAGCATTATAGCGAGGGAAGTGAAAAATATGATACTGTTTGTTAGATTTCGCCTAGCCTACGCATACGTAAATGGAAACGTTAGAGACTATTTTATGGATACCACTCATATTTTTTAATAAACAGAAAAATCTATTAAAGAAAATCTTAGTTTTTATAACTTTTATAATTGTTATAATAAAGTGTATTATTCTAATTACTTTTAATAAATATATTTTGTAAATATTTTTTTACATTTATCATTATGAAAATATTTTTATACAATTTTAGGAATGCCAAAAAGTTATACATTTAAAAAGTTTAAATAACAATACAGATTGTAGAGCTTTAGCAAAAGAAATTATACATAAATGCAATCTTATACATGAATCAAAACTCTATGATGTGGAACACTTGATTTACTATTTACAAACTCGTAAAACTGCAGCAATTACTAGTAATAATAATTATGTAATAAATTTTAGTTTTTTTTTTAACATCAGATTGAACAAAATAATCTACATATTATGGATATAATGTAACATATTTATATAAAAAAAATATTTCTTGACATACTTTGTTACTAGTCATAATCTATGAGGTTTGTGGCTATTGAAATGATAGCTAAACATAATGAAAGTATTATCTTAGCTATAAAAAAGTATGTGTAAAAAAAAGTTATTTATTGTCAATTATAATTGGTGCTTAAAAAGAAGGATAGATAAAAATGAAATTAAATTGACTAGTAAGGTAGCGAACTTGATGGCTGTAAGAATATACTTTCCGGAGAAAAAAATGCACTTAATGGCTCTTCTATTTATTATAAATATGTTGCTTAAAGTGCTTGAGGATATATCCATGTTTGCAGTTGAGTCCGAAACGTTAGAGCTCAACTGCAAACATGGATATATCCTCAAGCACTTCAAGCAACAAGACAATCCATGAAAACTTTAACACATTCATATAAATATGTTATCAAAATAATTATTACAATTTTAAAATAGGTAATAAATTAAAAGAAGATAAAAGTCAGTTGGGATTAGAAAATAATGTATCTATTACTTTAAAGATTTGTGGTTTAATGCCTGACGATAAAGCTAGTTTAGCAAAAATTGATGAATACATAGAAATGTTATATGATGATATACCCCAAAAAATTCGAGGTTCAGGATTTATTTTGAAAGTTACTAGTGACAAAGATAATCTTGAAGAATTATCATTATCAGGTACATGTTAATGTTAAATTCATAATTTAATCAAAATTAATTTATTTTCTACTTTATTTTTATAAAAAATAATTTTTTATTTCATATTTCTCATTCTCTCTTAATTAGATAAACCTATTACGTATAAAACAAAATGAATACCCTTACAAAGTATAAGAATTCACCTAAAAAAATTCTCAATATTATTTTTATATTATAAGTAATTAGTTGATTCATGGTAGATGAATCACCTTTTAGTTTAAAAATAATTTTAACTATTCATTTGCTTGTTATAATTTTAAAATAAATTTAATCAAAACGAAAAATGAAATAAATAGCCTAAATTATCAACATTAATAATATTAAATAATTTTTTTTTGTATTTTTGTAGAACCTGCAATGAGTGCTTTGTCGAGAGTTTTACGTGAAGAATATCGCAAAAGCTTAGATCTTAGTTCAAATATAATAAATATATTTCTATGCTTTTCTGCATACCAAGTATTTCATAAGATTCTTATAGATCATAAAGTGAGATATTAATAACTTTAATATTTTTGTAAATTTTTTTAGTATTTGATACTTTTGTATCTTATAGAAGAGAAATTTTAATTACGTTAGTTTTTTTTTCAGGTATGCTTTTTATGTATTGATGTGTTGGATTATGAATTAAATCGGTATGATAAAATTAAAAGTCAAATTGTTAATACTCCAAAAGATATTAAAACTTCTAAATTACCCACTATGTCAAAATTACCTGTACCTAAAAGTGCTCCAGGTGTATCGAAAATAGCGCGAAGCCAGATACCTATTAGTGCTTCTAATAGTAATGACAATCGAAGACATTCTGCATCATATGATAATACTAAACAAAATTTAAAAGGTTAATTTGTCTTGTTTGTTTTAGTCCTTTTTATTTTAATGTAATTAGAGAATGTGTTACTATACAAAGAAAAGAAGTGACATTTTCACCATATTTTAAGTAAAATAAATCTTAATTTTATATCTGTAATATTAAGATAAAATTTAAATCTTGTATAATTCAGTACCAATTAGTCAAATAAAAAATAAGTGCTATTGAGTTTGAAAGAATATTTTGCCAGTATACGGGATGATTTTTTTATGATAACCCCATCAATTATTTACAGAATAAAAATAATTTAAACATGTTTTTATTATTAGCTATGTAATTCTTTTTAAGTTCATCCCTCATGCCTTTTAAGGGTGTTAACTTTGTTTTTTTAAATGGGAACACGTATTTTGATTTTAATAAAATGTTTGAATTTTTAATTTAATAGTAGTAAATAGCATTTGAATTTTTAATATAACTTTCTTTATTCTTTTATTAGATATAAAATTTTAAAGTTTCAAATTTTTGAGATACTATACATGTATAATATACGAGTATTGGTAAAAAGTCACTCTGTATGCATAGGCTAGGTATGGGATGAAAAGCACCCTCCTTTACAGAAATTGTTTAGATTAATTTTGCATTTGGAAAATATCCAAAGTTGTTGTCATACCTAAACCCGGCAAAACAAAGAACTTAGTTATGTTATACAGACCTATTTGTCAAATGCCTACATTGAACAAACTTCCTTGAATACGGTACAATTCATAATATCCAATTTGGATTTGAATACATTAAATCTATAGGTTGACAGATACGATCACTTCAGCATTTGAAAACAAGCAATATTGTTCTAGCTTATTTCTTGATATCACACAAGTGCTTGATATAGTTTGACACACAATGGTTTACTGTATAAATTGAAAAAAAATATTTCCAGTCCTTTATACCTCATTATAAAATCATACTTGGAAAACAGGACATTTATGGTCAGACAAGATTGTTCTGATTCACCTTGCTACACAATTGAAGCTGGGGTTCCATAAGGTAGTTCTCAACATAAGGTTGGGTTCTCCCAATCTACATAATAGTCACTGCAAACATACCGCCAAGTACTAGAAACACACTACTAGCTACTTTTGCCGACGATACAGCTATATTAAGTTAACACAAAAATGTAAATGATGAGGCTCACTATTAACATATATTATAATACTACAATACTACAATCACATATTAACACCCGTAAGACATAGTTTAATTGTAAAATAAAAATAAATCCAGTTATATTACTTTTGCTCTCCATATAGAATTATGTCCCATTATAACACTTAACAATATACCAATCCACTACTCAAAATAAAACAGTTTCTTGGTTTAATTCTAGATAGAAATCTAACCTAGGGACCTCACTTCAAATAAAAAATAAAAAAACAAATATTAGATTGAATCTTTTCTGCCTGCTGCTAAAATCTAATCTGTTGCTCAAGATAAAATTACTTAATATAAGTCAATAATTCAATCAATATGGGGGCTTATAAATCCAAATATTAATTTCTAAATTTAAGCTGAGACCAGCTAAACTTTCAACAATAAGGCCAATACAAGTGTTCCAAATATCATACTACGAATTATCACAAATGTCCTTTGGTACATATTTAAAAATAATCTATATAAAGACCAACAAATAGACTTGTTAACGAATTTACCAAATAACATTATTTTAGATTCCTATTAAAACTTAATATAAATTTATACCTTATAATAAAACACATGAACATGTCTAGTATCCCTGTTGACCCTTCATGCAGACTAAAATACTATTGTAATAGAGACCTACTTTCATCAAATAAATTACTTTACTTACCATAAAAGTGTTATCAATGGGTGGCTTCCTTTTCAAGATATATAAGCTTCCCAGTATAATATAGAAAGCAAATTTATTGTACATATTATATTTTTATAAATTAATTTTGTAAAAAAAAAAAATTGAGTAATACATATGTTTTAACATAGTATATATATTTTTAATAAAAATGTTATATTATAATAATTTTAGAAAATAAAACTAAATATTCAGATACTAGTTGTATTAAACCAAATACAGTTACAAGAAGTCCAGATGAATTAGTTATCCACCAATTGAGGAGAAATTTATTTAAATTGGGTAAAAACCAAGATCAAGCATTAAAAGGTATATGATTTTAAAAGCTATAAATCTACTTATGTTTCAAATTATTATACAGTGTGATTTATTAAGAATCTATTCCTAAAAATAATAGTAACTCAAAAGTAATATTATTAAACTGTTAATCAACTAGTCAAAATTTTAATTAATTCATTCTCCATCTGTACTATAAAATAATTATAGATTCCTACTTAACTTTCTAATTTTATTCACAAAAACTATCCTTAAAGAATATTTTTTACTACAAACATGATATACAGAGTGTCGCACCATGTTCTAACATCTTTAAAAGTAAATTATAATTTATATAAAGTATTTTGTTTATTATAGGTGCTGTAGAGTTAATTTATAATTTATCTGTTGACAAATCAATGGAAGAAAAGATTGTTCGTAAAGGAATTATTAAATTACTGTGTCAGGTTTTAGAAAGAACTAGTACTGATTTATTGCTAGTTAGCATTAAGCTTTTAATAAAATTGTCAGTTTACAAAGAACATATTGATAAAATGGTAATAGTTTATTTTCAATTTATGTAAATTAATTTTGAATCATTTATTTAGATTCATCTGGAAAATAATCACAAATAACTCCGAATAATGTTATATGTTTTTCATGTTAAAATGATTAAACTTTCGTTTACTTTAAAATTTATATTGAAATATAAGTTTATTTTTTGTGTTTATCCAGACAACTTAAGGATACATTTTTTAAAATTTATCATTAATTAATTACATAAAATGTTTACAGGATGATACTTTTAATTAGCCACATTTCTCTAAAAATAAAAGTTATATTAAGAAAAATTTTTTAGTACTTTTTAGTTTCATATATTTTTCAATTTATTATATATAATAAATATCTTATAAATGTTAATATTAAATTTTTAAATGGCAATATACATATTTCACTAGCTTTTAAAATAAAAAATGATCTAATTCAGAAAATGATGACCGGTCGATAACAAATTTTGACCCATTATTTCAGAAGTTATAGCTATTTTAATATTTAGAGTAGATGTGAGTTATGTTATTTTTATCATTACATATTACTCTGCAAAACTTTTGCTCAATTCTATATATCAAAATGTTAATAACATCCAAAATAATGGATCAAAAGTTTTTATTGACTAGTCATTTTTTTAATAAGGTCATTTTTCGTTTTATAAGCTACTTAAATAAGTATGTTGCATTTAAAAAAATAAAGTTGATGCCCTTATAATGCATAGTTATTATTATTTTAAGAAATTTTGAGTAGCTTATATTAAAAGAATTAAACATAATGTCTTATATTTTATATTTTAACGCCAAAACTTTAAAAATCATTATTCAAATTTAGTTATCGACACTACATTTTTTATTTAATCTATTTTAGGGTTTTAATAAGATATAAAAATATTTAAAGTACCATTAAAGTATCAAAATTTACTTCTAAAAAATGTTCAACCAATTTACTTCAAATTAAAAAATAATAATTCTTTATAACTTTAGTAAATAATTTCTAATAAAAAATATATGATATTACTAAGTTGAGCTAAAAGCCTATTTTAGTCATGTTAGTGCTTGAAGTTTCATTTTTAAAATTATTATTTCATTAAAAGGTCTTAAGTTAGTCGTCAATTTAACACCATATTATAGTTATGTAATTTTTTTTTCTATTATTGTTATTTTTATTTGTATATTTTGTTTCAGAAAAAATATTCAATCATAGAAAAGTTACCAAAATTATTTATGATGAAAAATCATATATTGGAAAATCATACTATTAAGTTATTGTACAATTTATCTTTTGATATGACACTTTGTGATTGTATTTTAAAAGTGGGTTTACTACCAAAGATAACAGATTTAATAAGTATGTAGTATAAAGGTTTTATTTTCATTATATATAAATATAACAACAAATGTAGAAAATATGTCATGTAATGTATTTTTACACATTGTGTTAAAAATTGCATTATTTCTCAATAATATGAACTTGCTCATTAAAATCAAATAATTGAACGATTCAATGCTTTTTAACAAATTTTAAATAGAAATCTTTGTTTTACAATATATTAACATATATATTTATTAAGTATTTAGAATGTATTGTTAAAATATCTTTAATTTGGATAAAATTTACATATTCTTGTAACTTACAATGCAAAAACTAGAATATGCCTTCAAGATTGCCTGCAATATTAAAATATGAAAAATAAAAACAAAATAAGAATTTATATTTAAAAATATAACTATTTAAACAAGATTTAAAATGTTCAAATGTTTAATTGAAATTTTGAATTTTCGGCCCTTATATCTAACAATTTTTGTAAAAACAATTATTTATGTGTTTTTATCATATTAAGTATAAAAAACTTAATCATAGTAAATTAATATTCATATTTATTTTAGCTGTAGAAGAAAATAGTGAAATTATATGCAGGTTGTGTTATCATTGCAGTATGGATGACAGATCACGAGCATTATTTTCTCATACGAACTGTTTATCTAAGGTTAATCTGAGCTTTTCTTACTTATAATAATCAAATAAAAAACAGCAATTTCAAGTATTTTTAGAGTTATTTTTCTTACATTTACAATCATGACATTTAATTTTTTATTGATTATAAGTTTTCATTTATTCTACTTTTATTTATAGATTGCAGATTTACTCTTGACAGTGAGGCAATTTAATCTAATATTGTCTGCATTATGCATTAATTTGACATTAAATGAGCGTAATTCACAACTTTTAATTGCAAATCGCGGATTGAAACCTTTTGTGCAAATGGCTATTGATAAAAAAGATTTAATGTACCTTAAAATCCTTCATAACATGTCTAGTCATGAAAGCTTAAAGTCTCAATTTGTTGTAAGTATTTATCAATAAAAATAATCATTACATTAAGTACATTTTTTTTTTTAGGTAGGGTTCTTTTTTAAATATTAAAAAATGGCCCTTAACTTTTTTAAGTGTTAGGGGTTTTATTCTGACGTGTTCTTTTTTTTTTTATTGGATACAATTACCCCGGTTTTACTAAACCAATTTTGCTCAACTATATGTCAAAAGATCATAAAATGTATCTAATTAAAGCTTAAATATAATTATAGCTAAACTTTAATTTTAATTAGTGCAATAATTTTGAAAAATTCTCCTTAATCTTCACTATAAAGAGAAATATTACAAATAACTACAGTTTAAAACAGTTATTCTTGATATTTTTATTTTTCAATTTACATTGAAGTAACATTATAAAAATTAGACAAATTTATTGTAAAATTTTTATTGATAATACTTCAGACTTTGCCCTGTCCGACATATTTTTTTGAAAATGCAAACATTAATGAAAATATTGAGATGGAATATAATCATCATATCAATTTTTTTTTTCAGTTTATAATTATGTCACAAAAAACGAACATTTATTAATCTTACTTTAAATTAAATCTAACTCGTATAAACTGTATTTAACTTTTTTTAAGTTAGTTTGTCTTATAGTTAAATTATTTATAAATATACAGAGTGTCTCAGACCTATTTGACAATGCTTATAACTTGATTCAATTATCATTTTGTTGAAAATGTTTTATTTTAATAATTATAACTTTATAAGACTATTATTTGAAAAGCTTGAGGATTTATCCATGTTTGCAGTTGATTGCTAACGTTTAGGACTCATTGCAGAGTCCATCTTCAGAGTGATAGTTACTGCTCGGTGGCTGAAACTATACTGGCGGCTTATTTTGTTATCAGTCTGTTTTTATACGTTGGTTGCTTATCATATCACTTGTTTACCGTATCGGTTGTTTATCATATCTGTTTATGACTCATATTGTTTACGGTATCTTGTTTTTGTTGACGACTTTATTTTTGATTATTGTTGTTGTTTTTGACATTCTTGGCAGTTTTCCATTAAGTTGATAGTAACTTTTTCTTGTATTGACCAAGTTTTGTTATTTTCCATCCGTCTTCTTTGTTGAAATTCTCTGGACATTTTTCGAACTTGGTTACCCATCATACACCAGGCAAAAAGAAAATCAACTAACAACACTGAAAACAGTTCAATACAAGAAAAAGTTACTATCAACTTAATGGAAAACTGCCAAGAATGTCAAAAACAACAACAATAATCAAAAATAAAGTCGTCAACAAAAACAAGATACCGTAAACAATATGAGTCATAAACAGATATGATAAACAACCGATACGGTAAACAAGTGATAAGATAAGCAACCAACGTATAAAAACAGACTGATAACAAAATAAGCCGCCAGTATAGTTTCAGCCACCGAGCAGTAACCATCGCTCCGAAGATGGACTCTGCAATGAGTCCTAAACGTCAGCAATCAACTGCAAACATGGATAAATCCTCAAGCTTTTTTCAAATAATATGACAATCCATGAAAGTTTCAACACATTCATTTTTAAGACTACTTTTAAAGAAAATTCTTCATTTTTTTTTAATTTAAAAGTTAATTACATTTAACTTTGTTAATTACATTAACAAGTAAGTACATTTTTAAGTTAAAATAATTTTTAGTTACTAGCATTTTAATCCGTAGAGGGTATATAATGGGGGTGGATACAGCTCATATTGGTATATGTATCTCCGCCCTCGTTCCATATCCACTCTATGTATTTATATGCCTGTAACTCAATGAGTACTAATGTAAAATGTACATATACTAATAACTACTTAATAATTTGTTTTTTTTAAGGAACTTATTGGTAATTTTTCCCATTTAATCACAACTCTGCAAGATATTGAATGTATCATTGAATGTGTTGGTATTATAGCAAATGTTAATGTTCCTGGAGTTGATTTTAAAGAACTTTTGGAAATGAATAATTTAATTTCATGGATGGTACAATATGTAAATAATGGTATCGATTTGTAATATTATATTTTATTTACCGGTATTATTTGCCACATCTTCCCCTTAACCAATATCAAAATTTATGGTTTTCTACTTAATGTACTGAGTCTTCTTCTTATCGTGTCCGGTACTGGACTTAATAGATACTAATTGCATTTTTAAAAATATAAAAGTGTTAAATATTTTGCTTCAGCTAGTGGGTGGCTATTGATATAGCGTTTTCATTGGAAAGCGCCAAGTCGTCAGTTGTGCATCCTGGCGGAGCAAGGGTACATTTTATTAGGTGTTCATCGGATTGCCTCTCGCCGCATTCACAAGTGTCAGGTCTTTCTTGGTATCACCATGTTGACTCTTATCTTAGATACTCCGGCTCTTAACCTATTTATCGTTTTCCATATGTGTCATCACTTTAAATGCTGGTGAGGGAGGCCCTGAAAAGGGCCGTTTTGAGTTTGAACGCCTAGGCATTCTAGCACCGGTGTTGTTAATATTAGTGGGCAATATATATCCTGGTGTAGACTAAATATTGCAATGCAGGGGGCGCCACGTACAGGCTCTTACCATGTCCCCAAATGTACTGTGTAATAAGAAAAAAATATGTATATTTTAATAGTCAGTAACATGCTACATGAATCTAATTTTTGTGGTTAACAACAACAACATGCTATAAATGTCTACACTCGATATGCATATATTTATAGTACAAAAATAGTAATTAAGCTAAATATTATTATTTTTCTTAATCATTATCCCTCTTTTTCTAATGTCAATAAATGAAAAAAATTAATTGTTTATTTAAATAATATTTCAGCTTGTCAATCAAATAATACTCTTGATGATACAAGACTTTTAATTGAAGTTATAAAGCTACTAGGTACTGTATCTAAAGATGAAAATTGTGGAGAATTACTTTATGAACAGGGAACTATACTTCAAGCTATAAACTTATTAAAAAGTAATATTATATATTACAATATTTTTATAATACTATATCTATATCTTGGTTAAAATTTTAATTATTATTATTTGTTTATTTAAGATCAAAAAGGTGATAGTGAGTTAGCTATCCAAATTATGTATTTTCTGTATGAGTTAATGTGTCATCCAATTACTGGAGATTATATCATACAAAAAACAGGTGAATACAATAAGTTATTTTCTTATTGGATATTTTAAGTAACTGATGATGTTTCTGTGATAGTTAGAAAATGCCTTTTATGTGGGATAAACTGTAGGGTGATCCTTATTTAGGATATAGGTAGACATTTTTTTTAAATTTGTTTTATACAGTACTATTAGATTAGTTCAGTCGTATAAAAAAATAATGTAGACAAAATTTGGAAGGTTTTACTCAACCCCTTCTGATATCACATTGGGGTTTAAATATAACAATTGAGGGTAGTTTTTTTTCTTTTTTGAGTTTAACTCGACAAATATTACACTTAACATTAAAATATATAGAACCTTAATTATAGAACTTATTATTATTATATAGAGAGAGATTGCCTACATTACTTTCTTATAAGACTGATTTAATCTAGAGAATACTGTCATAGAGAAATTAAGTTTGAAAAATAGGACCACTCTAATAAACTGTTTATCATAACCTACTTAATTATTTACAAAATAAATATATCGCGAATATTTTTTTGACTTTTTTAGTTATTTTTATATTTTTTGACTTATTAATGATTAAGTATTTTTTTGGTTCATCCTCTTTACCTTGTTAGAATGTCAACTTTATTTTTTTTTAATGGCAACATACATATTTGATTAACCTATAAAATAGAAAATGACTGTTGTTAACAACTTTTGGACTAGTATTTCAAAAGTTTTAATGAAAATGAATAGTTATATTTCTCCAACTATAGTAAAAAAAATATCAATAATTTCAGAAGTACTGTTGTAAAGTTGTTATTTGCCAGTCATCATTTATTTTATAGGCTAGTGAAGTATATATGTTGTTATTTAGAACAAATTGACACTGCTATAAGTTATAAAAGAATATGTTAAAAAGTAATTAATAGCTGATAAATTAAGAAATATAATGTATTTTTATTTTATAAGTAATTGAATGGATTATGATAAACAGATTATGCTGTATGTATGTTATAGAAACTAACTAATTAGTAATCTACAAACTCAATTTATTTTTAAATTATGTGTTTGATAAAACAACTTTAAGCATAAGAAAATTAACTATACTTTAACATTTTATTTTTAGATTGCCCTATCTATATAATTGACTTAATGCATGATCCTAATGTGAGGGTTCGTAAAATGAGTAACTATTGTCTTGATATTATTAAGGTAATACTATAATTTTATATCAGTTCTTCTCTTTTTTTTTCGATTTAATCCTCTACATCTTCAACGTTTATTTCTATAACTGTTCTTTCAGCTTTGTACATCAATTGTGTTAAAAAAAATGTATTTATTAAAATATAACTTTGTTGATAGGAATTTGATGAAACTTGGACAAAAAAAATAAGAGCTGCAAAATTTTGTTGGTTTAATGCTTATTGGCTTAATATGATGAAAGGTGAATGTGACATGCCAACTACAAAATTAAAATATAACAACAATGAAATTAATGTTTATAGTTTTGATCATCAAGCAGTTTTAATGCCTGAAGATGGTAATCATCATAATTATAATATCATACTAACTTATTAAGAAATTAAAATTTATTTCAGATTTTATGTTTGATAAAGAGGATGACATTGAAATTATGTCAACTAAAATTCAAAGTAGTCCTGATAGTAGATACTTAGATGATCAGTAAGTTTTTTTTTATTCATTAAAAATATTAATTTTACCTAAAAATTTAATACTTTTTTGTGATTTAATAAAAATTAATTATTGTTTATGTATAGTAAATCTCCATTAATTATTATTGCTCATTATAATACCCTGAAAATTAACAACTATCTTATAATAAACATGCATACTCAGATTTTTAATTTTAATATAATCAAACTAATTTCTTGGAAGAATGTTAAATAAAAATTAAAAAGAAGTTTTTTCTTTTTTTTTTTTAATAATAAATAAAATTTTCATTCAAATAAATGTCCAAAATAAAATCTGTAATAGTAACTTATCAGTATTCTTTGTGTCTAATATATTCCAATACTATAATGAAAAATTTGTATACGGGTGATTTATTACAGATAAGACACCCATTTTCTTAGAAATTATTGAACATTATAAATTTTTGTATAAGGAATTATTGAGTATCATTAACAATTCGAGTAAGAATAACATCTTCACACATTTTATACATTATGTAAGGTCGTTTTATTATTATGAAGCAATTAATTAATTGAAAATTAAAAATAAAATCGATAATCTTTTTTGTTTTTTTTTAGATATACGTTTATCTTAATTTATTAATTATGAAGTATTTTTAAAGTTTATCTCTTATACCTTATGAGAAATATAAGTTAGCTTTATACTCCAAATGTCAATATACATAATTAACTTATTTAGTTATTAGATAATGATATAATTATAAAAAATTTCTGGTCAATAAAAACTTTTGGATCAATATTTCAGAAGTTATTAACAATTTGATGTAATGATTGCAGCTGGTGTTATTATTTAACATTTTTCAACTACCCTATTCTTACTCATGTATAAAAATTAATAACTACTGAAATATTGATTCAAACAACATTATTACCAACCAATTATTTTCTTAAGTAGATGATTGTATAATAAATAAGCTAATTAATTATTAGCTTATTAGCTCAAATTATTATTTGAAAAAATAAATTTTACACCCTTAAAAGGTATATTGGATGAACATTAAATACTTCACAACTGATAAATAAAAAAAAACATGTACCTATAAGAAACTAAAAAATATATATCAATTTTATTTCTATTTTTCTAATTAATTAAGTGCTTCGTGATAAAAGAAAGACCTTGTATATCGAATTTAAACAAATTTTTATTCAAAAGTTTAAACAAACTTTGGTGACTATAAAATTCATGAAATAATTTTAAAATTGTTAAAAATTATTTGAAATTAGTTTAATAGGTATCTATTTACAATATAAATGTTTGGTAATAAACATAAATGCATATGATTGCTGCTAATTGAGTTACTTAAAATAGTATAAATATTTTTGTCTTAATTGAACGACAGTGAGTTTTCAGATTTTTTTGGTATTTTCTTAGGTTATTTTTTCTGCTTTGTTAAACTATTAGCTTGAGTAGAAAACCAAAGAAAACCTTAAACTTTCAATATTTAAAAAGTTATTGACAATAATAAGTGATTTTCAAAAAAAAATGTAAAATTCAAACTTTGATGCTCATCATCAAAAATTGTGCTATTCTGTACTAGTAAGGATAAAAAAAATGATGTCATTGAGACAAATTGGAAAATTTGTAACTAATTGTTTCATAATTGACACTTGCATAAGTAGCACCTCACAGTGATGTCGATCCTATAATACATATATTTGGTGGCTGGTATATTAGGAGACATGCTTCTTATAATAAATGTCCGTAATTTCACGGGAAATATACTTTAATAATAAGGAATGAGTTAAAACAAATTTGGAGTTGATGGTGTCTTATTGAATTTTTTTTTTTTTTTTGATAAAATAACCATCAAATTTGACATCAGTGCCATTGGCAACCTAATGTAATGTTTAACTATACTAGTAAATTTATGGTAACTAATATGTACTAGACACTCTACTATAAATATTATCTTTTCACTCTATACAATTTTAACTATAATCATGATTAATCCCAAGAATGATGTCATTTAACAGTTATTGCCACTATGATACAGAAATTTGTAATTTATTGTGTTTTTTTAAATGAATTTAAATAAACTATTTTTAACAGATTTGACTTGGAGTCATTCAATGAAGAACAATATTCCTTTGAAAATTGTGATGAAGATATTGATGATGACCAAGAAGCTCAAATAGGAGCTACATTCAAAAATAATATTTTACATTTTGCAGAGTAATTTTACCGTATATCTAATATATATGGAAATTTAGGAAACAAAAAATTTGTTAATATTGGATTTCTATTGAGCTTAAAAATAGTTTAAAACTTATAATTTTCTGTAATTTTCTCTAAATATGCATTTTTTAAGACTTATTTTCTACCTTTAGTTACCAATTTTTTAGGTTTATAAATAACCATTGAAAATTTTTCACATTTTAAAATTTATATTATATAATAATAATTATTACACCTATATATAACATATTATATAAAACATATACCAATGCATCAAAGAAGCTTAATCTGTGTTGGTGGCTTAATACTCAAAATATTTAAAATAAAAAATAAAGTACAACAGAGTTTTTCAAAATGGATTACAGAAAAATTATAGTTATTACAATGTGTTAGCTTAGTCTTGGCTAAGCTAGTTAATTCCATTGAACAGTACATTATTGACTGTTATCGGCTACGGTTGATGTTACTTAATAAATACTGGAAGTGTTTCATGTGGTTTATTTTTGTTGCTTTCTCTACGTGTTGTTTAATATCATTATAATGGTTAAAATTGTAACACTTATAAAAAGGGCCCTAAGAGCAATTTATCGATTCGATCTGAAAATTGTAATGAATCAATAAGTATATCGGATATTTATAAATTATAAAAACAGTCATCTTCATCTACGGACTCTAAGATCAATTTCATATCAATTAAAATGGATACGTACGATACAAATATTACTATGCTGAATAATTCTATTGAACAACTGATTTCTTCTTTAAATGATGTGTGTAGTGAAAATGAATCGTTACGGTCTGAGGTAAATACTGTACGCCATAAAATTGAGGAAATAGAAAGTTCAATATCTATTTCAAACTCAATAGACATAGATAGAGAAACGTAAAATTGTCTTTTTAAGGTGAATAATGTCTCGTTTCACAATGTTCCTGAGACTGGAAATTTTAATCATAATGATACTGACTACTTATCTAATGAATCATTACTATCATTAAGACCCTATTTACAAGTTATTAGTTCTAGATCACTTAGTGTGAGGGCTTCTAAATGTATTTTTTGTTTAACATTTAATAATTTTGGAAACGTCCTTACAGTATTAAAATCTAATGCTAAGTTTCTATCTTAGCTTAACTTTAAACATGTTTGGATAACTTCTGATTTGACAATTTTTTCAAAGAAACCAAATAAAAGAGTTAAGATCGGAACCTTCCCATCGAAGAGACAACGGAGAGAATCTTTATAAAATATCAAAATTTTATTCCAAAAATTATTTCAAAAACTAATGTCAAAATCAGTAAATACAGAACATACAAATAAAATTGAATTTATAGTAACTAGATTTGGTAGGATACCAATTTTATTTTTGCATATGACTACAATCTTACAGGTACTTTATTTAATAGTGATTCTAGGGGTATTATTTAAAAAAGTGGTCAATATACACCTAGCTTCAATATAATATATGAAGTTTTTGCGTCCAATAATTTTTATTAATGAAATCAAGTTAAGTATACATGTACGGTAATACTCTCGAATTAATATTTTTCAACTATGGAATTGTTTATCCGATTATTTATTCGTTTATTCGATGAGGATGCAGATTTTCTAGGGGTTACGGAGATCGCCACGATGTGATGTACCGACATTGTAAGAAAAATCCTCCGAATACGTAGTTTAAACAAATTGTTTCTTACTATGACGATAATTACTCCGAATAGGACAATTAATTGATTGCTCCAATTAAAATTTACCCCGAATATCGATGATTCGCGTAATCGATTAAAAGTTTCAATAATTGCCAAACAAAGTCAAGTATTACCTTAGTTAAAAAAAGCTATGTGTAAAAATAGGCTATTTATTGTTAGTTATAATTAGTTTTTAGAAGGTAGGATAGATAAAAATAAAATTAATTTGACTATTAAATTGTTACGTTACAAATTCGAAAGTGGACCACTTATAATTTTTGTTTGTCTATTTATCTGTTTTTTTTTTTTATTTTAATATCAGTTGTGCCATAGAGCAGTGGTATTGACAAAGATTCAAGACACAGTATAAGTGCGGGTGGTTGAAGTGGAGAGAAGAGTCTGGTGTCTTATGCGATAAAGAATTCAAATGAGGCTGAAAGGTAAGTTCTATAAGACTGTAGTGAGACCAGCTGTGATGTTTGGTTCAGTGTGTTGGGCGGTTGACAAGAAAGTAGAGCAGAGAATGAGTGTAGCAGAGTTGAGAATGCTTAGATGGATGAGTGGAGTGACTAAAAAAGGTAGAATAAGGAACGAGCATATTAGAGGAAGTACAGGTGTAGCGTCAATCGTGGATAAGATTAGAGAAAATAGACTTGGATGGTTTGGTCATGTTATGAGGAGAAAAGAATCGGAAGCTGTAAGCACAGTTATAGAGTTATATTTTTGTTGTGAGCCTTTCTCTGTAGACATGGTTTTTGATACATTCGTATTTTCATCCACGTTTAACCTAATTTTCTTTTTTAACAATTGAATTCAATTTTTTTATTAATTTTAACTGTAATATTTATTTTATTGCGTCTTAAATACTCGCGTGTATTTTATTTATTTTCCTTAATCTATACACGGGCTACGATATGTTTTATATATCAACCTCATACAGCTTCAATTTTCATTATTTTGGATAATAAACCACGAGGTGAAATAATCATTTATATTTAACGACATATTAACTCGAATGAAATTATTAATTAACTTAAAATTAAATTCTACCTATGGTTTGATAATCATATCTGATAGGCGTGACACATTGCCTAGGTGATGGCGACTCTTGCTACTATAGCTAGTCATTATGCAAGCGGTAAACTGCGTTGAGTTTCTAGCCGACAAAAGCTCTCTTGCAAGATAATGGACTATATGAATGTAAAAATATTATCTGGGAAAAAAAATGCCTCTTCTAGTTGTCATAAATATGTTTAATATTATAATAATAATAAAATATACTTTAAAGATTTGTAATTTAATGCCTGACGATAAAGTTACTTTAGTAAAAATTGATGAATATATAGAAATGGTGTATGATGATATATCCCAAAAGATTCGAGGTTCAGGATTTATTTTGAAATTTACTAATGACTAGAATAATCTTGAAGAGTTATCATTATCAGGTACATGTTTGTTTTGTTAAATTCATAATTAAATCTAAATTAATGTATTAAATCTTTCATAGATTATTGTATTATTTGAAATGTTAACAGATGTGTTCTTGTCTTCAGGTTTGGGCTAACATTTAGCACTCGTTGCAGAGTCTCTCTTCGGAACAACAGTTACAAGATCATGATTGTAACTATATTATCGTCTTGGCTTGTTTACAGTTTGTTTTTATATCGGCTAAGATATGATAATATCGATGTTAATTATCTGTTGTTATTTTTGTCGAGTTGTTGTTGATAACATCTGTCAGTTTATTGTTTTCGTCTAATTTTTGTTTTTGTTATTGTTTACGGCATTATTGGCATTTAGCTCTTCCTTTTCTACACCGGCATTTTCTGATATTTTAAATATAGTTTTTTTTAACATTAAGTTATTTTCTTTTTTGTTTATTTATCTTCTTTTTTCTTGATGTACAATAAGTAATCGAGTCTTGCTAAATTTCCATCCTTTTTCTCGGTTGTAATTTTCTGGACATTTTTCGGTTTCTATTGCTTCTTTCTACAGTCACTTGTCAAAATGAGTTTCTTTATTCAATATTTTGACTTTGTCAAATTAAATGTCGTGTCCGTTATTTTTGGTTTATTCAATTACTACAGATCAAGATTAGCACCTTTATTCGCAAACATACTCATGGATGGTTTGAAGAAGAAGCAATGAGCATATATACTCAAAAACTCCAAATGTGGCTACGATATGTAGACGGCACATTTGTTTTATGGCAATACGGTGTTGATTAACTGAAAATCTTTCTCGAAACATCTAAATAGTATACACACCAATATATAGTTTACAAAGGAAACGGAGGAAAACAAACAAATATTGTTCCTGGTCTTACTGGTCAAAAAGCAGCCAAATAGGAAATGCGGCACGGGAGTGTACAGAAAAAGTACACATACCGACATGCCGATTCATACCACTGCCCCTTATAAAAAATGAGATTACTACATACAATGGCACCAAGATCTGTAAGAATAGCTGACGAAGATCACGCGAAAGAAGAAAAACATATTTAGGACATGCACTACATAATAATGGATACACAATCAAAAACATAAACAAGACACTTAAGAAAGTCGAAAAAAAAATACAACGTACAACAATGAAAATAAACACAAAGAAGACATTAAGAAAGTAACATTAATACTACTGTACATACAAGAAATTACCAACCACATTTTAAAAGTCGCTAATAAATTCAAAATAAGTATTTCCTTCAAACCGAACAGTCATAGAATCGCTATTCCAAAATCCAAAGGATAAATTTCCAGAAATGAAAACATTTGGAGCCTATGAAATATCGTGTTCATATTGCTAAATGTATAATTAGACAATATAAATTTGACATATAATAATAGGCAAACAGGAAGAGCTATTGCAACAAGAATAAAAGAACACAGAAAGACGTGGATTCCCAGAATTATTGCCGCAAATATCTTTGACTAATTACGATTTGAGATCTTTTGACGTATTGTTCATCAAAATCAGTCCAGCGAGAGCTGAGAATAAATAACAGACACAAAAAAAATAAACACATCATAGTTAAATTAAATCTTCTTCATTTGACTTATAATACTTTTTACAAATAAATAGAAATTTTTTTATAAAACAAATTAATGTGTAACATTTTGAGTAATAAAAAAAATTAAAAAGTGTTTATTTTAAAATATTGAAATATAGTTTCAATATGATCTAAATTAAAATTTGTAAACAATTAAAACTTAATATTATTATTTATTTACTTAATAGTTATTGAACATAATCGTATGTTAGTGCATGATAATTTTTACAAAAATTAAAGTACCTCGTCAACAAGTAAAAAATTTGCAAATAATTGATAGAATCTCCTTTAAACAAAAATAGAAAAAAATTAATGATCCTCTATAAAAATATAAAATTGTAATGATAAATTTTTTAAAACATTACCATTATCAGCCGCAAAAAATATCAAGAATTTCTTATATATTTCTTTATTATATAAGATATTGAAACTAATATCATCAAAAATTTTTATCAACATTTCTTTGTTAAATACGCATTTTTGTTCAAAATCATATTTTTCAAATGCTTTGACAACTTTTCTAACATGTGAATATGAAAGAAAACCTACCTGTTTTACAAGTTATGGATAAAAATAATTAAGTTTTGATATCATAATACTATTGAAAATTACTTTACATTAGGAGGAACTGGATCTAAATAATTTTTAGAGACGTGCAACAAGAAATATTTCATTTGCACAAACCATGTACCTGTAAACAAAGTATCAGCTGATAAATATAACGGATAAATAAAATAACAAATTTTAAAACAGAAAAAAGTAACTTATTTTGTATTCAATACATTTCTCTGGCATAATTAAAATCAATATTTTTATTATTATTAACAAAAATATTATAATTAAACAAAAATGTTTTAATAAATCTCAGTAAAAAAAAAAATAACTTCTATAAGTTATTAATGAACAAAAAACGTATAAATACAATAAAAATATTACTTTACACAATAAGTTAATACTAAATAAATTTCTATTTGATCTAACATCTTGAACTTATTTTCTAAAAAAAATCAAAATGATAAAATTATTAAGCATTACTATTTGCCTGAAGGGAATAAGAGGGAATATTGTAAAATCTGGTTATCTCATTCAAATTAGGTTGATCCATTGGATATATTTTGAAATAACTTAGAAAATGTGATAACATGTGTTCTTGAATTAAGCCCTGTAAATTTCAATTTCATAGTTAAACAATTATTTTTTCTTTATACTGTCATATTTTTTTGTGTGTATATGTCACATAACATGAATAAAGTCGACACCCTTACAAGGCATAAGGGATGAATTTAAAAAGTATTACACAGTTAATAATTTAATAATATTGTGTAAATAATGATAACCAAAAAAAAATGTTTAAATTATACTTATTCTGTAAATATGAGTGAGATATGATAAAAAAATCATTCTGTATATTTAATTAAAATTTTTGAAAACTGGACGGATTATTGTGAATAAATAAAAATAATACCAAACAATTTTATTTGGCTTATTTTAGGTATAAATTTTTCTCAATCTATCATTTAACATTTTATAGTGATGGCTATGGTTTAGACATGGGTGTTGGTATTTTTATCTCTAGTCATTTTTTGGGCTTACTCTTCTTCCCACGTAGGTATAAAAAAAGTCAATGACTTCCAAAATAATGGTCTGAAATTTGTTATTCACCAGTAATTTTTTTAATTAGATCATTATATATTAAATAATTTAGTTAATCAAGTATGATGGTTTTTAAAAAATAAATTTGACACTCTTAAAAGGTATAAGAGATGATCATAAGAATACTTCGTGATTGATAAATTGAAAAAAATATGTACCTAAAAGAAACCAAATAAAAAATCTCAATATTATTTTTATTTATTAATTAATTAAATGGATCATGATAAAAGAATCACTCTGCATGTGAAATTAAGTTTAGCTATAACATACTTAAAATTAAAATATTAAATCGTAAATAAAAGTACACCAGTTTTAAATTAGTTGCTCTTTTGAAAATTTGAACAAACATGTAACAAGGCATAAAAATATAAATCAACATTTTTTTGGTAAAAAATGTTAAAAAATTATTTAATAAAAAAATGTTTATCATTTTAACATCATAATGTGTTTTCTGAATAATAATGTTGGATCATACACAAAATTAAGAAAATCTAACTAACTTGTTGTACAAATAATACTTTTGATATGAATACTTATATTTGATGATATTTTTCTTATTTTGATGTTCTCAAAATTATTTAAAATGAAAAAGAAAAAAATTAGTAAACATAACAACTTAATAATCATTCAATTTAGATGAACTAAATCTTGAAGTAAAACTTTTTTAGTCGATTAATTTAATTTAATTTACAAAAATATTGTTTTATTTAGTCATTTAACAAACTATAAAATGCATACAACGTTAATTTCATAAATTAAAACTTATTGTTAAAAATCTCACTTACCGACGTACTGGAAATAAAGTACAATATTATTAATAAGCTATAGAGTTTAAAATGCATCTTTCTATAATGTTTTTCAATTAAAAATATTTTAAGTTAGTTATAATTGATAAAATTGTTTATCTCATTGAAAATAATCAAAATTTAAGTGATTTTATTTTTGTGAACTGTTATTTTATAGCTATAATTTTATCGAATCAATAGAAAAAAATATTTTTAACCATGTTTTAATCATATTTTAGTTTTAAAAATGCAAGATAAATATTATTCTTTTCGAAAAATGTATAGTTTTAATACGATACTATATACTTTTAAATATAATTTTTCGTGATATTTAACACCGATGCATCGGTAAAACTAGAAAGTTCTTGGTTTTATTCTGCTGAGTTTATTTTTAAACCTACATTAAATTAATGCTAATACAAATGTACTTAAACATAAAGAAAATATCCAAAAACTTCATTTTTAGGAGATATGAACCACTGAAACTAAAAATCATACAATTTTCGATCAAAATTGTCAATGTTGTAATGTGTCGCATAGTATCGAAAATTCTATACATCTCAATATAATATCATTTTAAAGATTATTTCATGTTCTATACGATTAACAAATGAAAGAAGTTCCAGCTACTTGCATTCTTTGAAAGCTGCTAAAATTGAAAATAGCATAATTTTATATGGATATGGTAATTATTTTTTTCAAATACGTGTCAAAGCGTTTCACGTGGTTTTAATCTCTGTTAAATATCAGTCAATAATAATCTAAAAATTTCCTCGGTTTCACTTTGCTACATCCCAACTATACTTTATATAGTTTTTTTTTTGGATTACTACAAAAAAATTGTTATTATATTTTATACTGCTAAATATGATGTTTGAGTATATATTTACCTATTTTTTTTACGAACATATGGAAATAAAATTTGACGCCCAAATATTTGCAATATCATATACATGGTGATCGTTTATGACTCATGCAATATCTTTAAAAAAATAAAATACAATATTATTTTTTCTTATTCAAAAATAATAATATCTCTTTTTCAAAACATTTTTATAAGTTAAGTTGACAAAGTTAACTTTTTATACAAAAGTTACCATTTTCAAATCCCCTCTGTAGGGAGGGAAAGATACATACATACTAAATTAAAGGAAATACCAATGGTATTAATTAAAAGATAATAATATTATTTTTGTTAATTTTTCAAAAAGTTTTGACGGTTTTATGAAAAATTTTTGAAATTTACCGATTTTAAAAATCATAATTTTTTTAGGGGTTTCCCTATTTACAGGAAACAGGGAAAATGTTTTCAATTATTAAGGGCGAAATCTTCACTAGACACAATTTGTGATCCTTTGACGTAACGTTGAAAGAAATCTGACAAGACATGAGAAAAAGTGATGATAGACTTAAAAAAACATGTAACAGTAAATTAATATATTTTTAGCTTCATAACGAGAATGATAATAATAACTTGGCCAAAAAGTTTTACGCCATATTTATCCAAATAATTTAGTTTATTTCGCAACATTATCATAAGTGTGAGTTATTACATTTCTCAAATGACAGATTATATTAGTTTATACTAAATGCAATATTATGTATACATATTTTTGATAAGTTAACATAGTGTTCATATTTAAGACGTATTTAAAACAATCGTTATGTAATTTATATTCTGATTATATTGGTTAGGCTACTAGTAACTACTAGATTGCGCTATATTTTGTCTAAATATTTTTTTCTTATTTTATTCAAAGAAGTCATTTCTAATGAGAAGCAGTTTTGGACCAGAATTAATTTTAATTTTAAATTAAATCGAATGGTGAAATGACCTTAAAACTCCAAATTTCTTTGCAATTATCTAATCATGTTATTGCTTATGAGTTCTTAAAGATTTGTTACATGTTTGACGTGGAAATCTCTTAATGTTTATGAAACAGCAGTATAAGGTTACATAATACGTAAAATAAGGTTTGAAAAACATCAAAACGGCTGGTTCGACAGTTTAATTAGAATACTAAAATACACAACAGATATATTATTAATAAATTCCACTAACGAGTATATTTGACTAAAAATAAATAAAAATTAAGTTGAATTTTATCGGTTACATTTAAAAAGGAACCGAAAAAAGAAAAGTTGGTAAAAGACGGTTGGTGTATCAGAACACGTAAGACGTCAAAAACCAGAGAGAGTTCACACCTCCGGCGCTCGGTAGTCGGCCGCGGTCCAGTCCGATATTGACTTTTAGTCGGATAAAATTGAAAAGAAAGTGGGCATACTCTAATCAGGTTGGACTTGAGATGTAAAAAGGCGGCTGATGAAAGAGAGAAAGTATTTGTGTATTAAGCATACCGCAAAATATACCGTACCTTGTCATGATAATGGAGGAACTTTTGATTGGTTGTGTTACAGTAAGTAGCATTAAATGGTGGTGGGTTATATAATTTTAAAGAACTAGTTAAGTTTAACGGTCACCTAATTCTAAATTTCTGAGGTTAGATTTCGTAGATGTTGGACTTCCCATTTAGATTCGCTTCATTAGAATCATAAACGTTAATCGTTCATAGTTTGGGTAAAATTATGACAAGTTATGACAAATTTATGAGTTTTTCTTATTTTTTTCAAATAGTACATAAAGTTAAATTGTGTACCTAGTTGGTATATGAAATGATTCAAATTTTTTTGTGAGATATCATGACCTAACAACTCTAGGTAAATAACAAAACACTAAATGAAAATATATATTTATTTAAAATTTTTAGTAATAAATAGGAATGAAATTAAATTTTATCTAACTCTTGTTATACGTTAAGTCTGTTTATTGTACAATAAACCAAAATTGGAACTATTTTGAAAACAAAAAATATTATTTAACTGTAGTGCAGATTATATTTGAAGATGTTTTTCATTGATATTTCTCACAATTATATCATGTTACGTTTCAATAGGTTGTAACGGTGTATAAATTAATGAAAGTAATTTTATCATAATAAAATACTGTGATCGCGTTTTATCAATAGGAAAGATTGGGACAAGTTGACGACTTTCAGATTTTATAATGTTTTTTTGAAAAATATTAAGAATCATTGGGGTTTATATATATTATATACCCTAACACTCATTTTATCTGACTCTGCACGCAGTTCATATTATACAATTACTAAATTGGAAAATCAATTCTTGCTTTTTATTCAGACAAGTCATTTTTTTATCCTATAATTTGATTTTTTTCTTGACCCTATAAAAAAAAGTATGAATCATTCTGAAGTGGTACTTTGAAGGGTCTAAAATGAAGGTTTAACTCGTTTGTTCGTCACAACATTGTATAAGTGTAAAGTATTTGAATTTGATACGGGTCAGCATGGTCATCTATTTTGCATATTGTCTACTCTTGGGAATTTCGTCTAGTACTGTTTTCCCTTGTAAAAATTATTTGAAGAACACTACGCAAGTGATACAATAACTTGAGTTAAAAAGTTTTTATTATTGTCTGATAGGGTTAAAATCAATTTTCCAATAAGCTGCTCGAATTAAATTATAGTAATAATACACAAGTTTATTTCTGTAGAATGAAGTATGAAAAGTATCCATAATAGAGTTGAGAATTTAAAAATAAAAAATAATATACGGAAAGAAATTTTAAAGGCTCAATGTTTTATATTTTTATGTTAATTTTTCTTATCTTAAATTTTTAAGAAAATAATAAAGGCAATAAATTATTTCACGCAATTACTTTTTGATAAAAGTTGTTGTATACATGTTACATAATTTCAATGAACTAAGTTGGACTCTTAGAAAAATGGATCAACTTAATTTTATGTTATTTTTCTTTAAATTCGTGATGTAATTGGAAAAAGGCTAGATGGCGTTGTTGGGGTAAGAATCATCGGGGGAAGATATTTATATCGAAGACGTCACAAGTTATTGCGGAGTTGCCAAAGTGTGAGACTTGCACAGACAATTTGACAACACATATATATTTTATTATTATCCTCACGTGTTTTCTTTCGAGAAAATAACCCAATATGTACGTTTACAATCAAAACACTTGCAGCAATACAAATTTATAACAATAAAAATAAAGAGTTTCCTTTTAATATCTAAGGTTGAAACAATCTCCCTATCTACTTATTAACATAAATTGCAATATTTTAGATGCATTTTTATAAAAGAAAAATATTGTATAAACATTTATAAAATTATTGTTAATATTGGCGATTGAAATAAAAAAATTATAACAAATTAAATTATTATTCCGTATTTTATTTTACTTTCATTGGAAAATTCATTGAGCTATTTCAGTATAAATATATTTAATGTTCATTATCAACAAATTGTTGATAATGAATGTGAACTTATTTATTTTAAATAATCTAATTTGCGATTAATTTAAAAAAAAACTTAAAATTAAAAAATTATCTTATAAATGTTTGTAACGATTTTTTTTTTTGCTACACTATTAATAGAACTTAGTATAAAAATTGTTTTTATATTTTGTTGTAGTAGTGTGTTGCTGTTGTGGTTCACTGATATTTTTAACTTTTGTTAAAAAAATATTTTTTCATGAAGTTTTTATTGTTATATGCTATATAAAGTTGTCAAGAACTGTATGTTTTTGTTTTCTTTTAGAAAATTTGTAGTTGCGAAATATAAATTATAACATACATCAGTTTTAATTATACCCAAAAAATGATTTGTTATGTGAGAATTTAGAATCGTGAGAATCGTTGCCTTAATTTGATGTTTAGTTTTACTGTTTGTTATTAATTCCTGGATGGGTGACCATTCGGAAACTTTTATATTCCCTATCTTTTTACTTGTTCCCACAGATTTAATAAGGTTGTGTCAAATCGATAACCGGATGTAAAAATTCTGCCAAATCAATAATGTAGTGCCGATCCCAAATGGTTGAAGTAGAGGCTAATGAGATGATGATGATTGATAGTTATTAAATATTTTAATTAATACAATATTGAGTTTTCTCAATACTAATTATATTAGTGTACTGTCAGTGTTATGAATAGTTATGTGAGTAGCAAATAAAGTTCTTTTAATTAGTAAAGTCATTACATTTTTTTTTCGAAAATAAGGTAAATAACTTATCATT